ATTGCCAGACTACACCGTTCCTCCTCTTCCTTTACACTCCACCTGACTACAATTCAATCTTGTCTTCACATTTCAGCGCCTCTGGCGGCTCACTCTACAACCTGTGCGCTTCTGTGTACAGCAACCTGTCCGGGCCGTTGCGTGCCCATCTGTCCCAGCCACATGGCACCTCTCTTCTCGCCATGCCTTCATCCAGACTCGGCAAGTCCTTCCCCGGACACCATGGTCCGTTGCAGTTGCATCGCAGTTCAATCTGCTGTCCAGGCGCCGTGACTGGTCCCAGTGGCAACGTTGTCCTGCCCGCCTCGGCCTGCGGACAAATCGGTTTCAACAGTCCGGCCGGAGTCGACTCCAGTGCTGTGGTGTCTCGAGATCCGGCCGTTCTTTTGGCCGAATTTCTGTGTCATTACGACGAGAAGCGTGTCCCTGTTGCCAGGGCGGCCGAGGCCGACTGTACAGACGAGTCGGCCGCGAGTAAAGTGGCTCGACAGGGACGAGACGACTGTCAGGATGACGTGATTGACGACGAAGAAGACAAGGAGAATGCTGCTAAAATGCTGCAAGCGGCGTCGGTCACAGGCCGCCGTCTTCTTCCTCCGAAGGTCGGCGAAAAGGTACGCATGACGTCGCCGGCTAACGACCCTCTGGCTGCCTGCTCTGCCACCCTTCTCACGCGACTTGCCGAGAGTTATGTGGCTCGAATCATGAGCAAACTGCTCACTGCACTTCATTTCATGCACAATGAAATGCGCATCATCCACCTCGACATCAAGGCAAGTCTCTACTGATATTATTTTTGTTCTTCCTCTTTCCATATGACATATTCACAAGGATTAGGCTCACTAGCTCATTAGCTTTATTATCTTCTTCATTTTGACGACTTTTCCTATTCTCCAGTTTCGGCCGTCCTCTGATTGCATTGGCAAATGCATGCTTGCTTACTCGACAATCCCATTCTAAGTGTGATTTAGAAAAGGCCAACTGAAATCCGTAGTTGTGTAGTTGAGTGGTAATGTCGCTGCGATCCGTTGCGGATGAGACCCAGGCCAGGTCGAAACGGGAGTCCTCTTCAGTTGGGATCTGATGGCCCTTTGGGTGTTGTGGTTTGGCAAAATTTAATGGCATCT